AGAGAGAGAGAGAGAGAGAGAGAGAGAGAGAGAGAGAGAGAGAAAATGTGCGTGTTTAAAAAATAAAACATTGAACATATTTATGATACATTGGACGGTCTCAAAGTTATTTATATTTCTTAAGTATATTCCCAAGATGTCACGAATCAATCAGAGAATAGCATTCATAGTTTGATTTTCAAGACTATCTTAAGTAATAATGTCTCAAGATGCTAATACAGCTCTCTGATTAATATATCTTAAAACTGCAGTTCTTAATTTAAATATAAGATTCGACTGTGAATACCGTTCAAAGGCGCACATTAACATTATAAGATATTAGGTATATACTTGGATATTAAAATGATCTTAAAATTAGAACGGATTATGAATACCTACTGTTTTTGATTTTCAACAAAAAAATATATATCAAACGATCTTTATCTTTAATCAATACATCATAATAATATGCACAAAATTCAGAAGCAATCAAAAATCGAAATACGTATATTTTTATAGTACTCTGACAATTTAGTACAAGATATAGATCTCGTCATACTTGGTGGTTATTACGGAGAGGGCAAATATACAGGAATAATTAAAAGCTTTATGATGGGTGTTGTCGCACCAGCGAACAAAGAAAAAGAAAATCCATCTCAATTTTTCTCCATCGTATCTGTAAGCACTGGAATAGGAGATGAAATGTTACGTCATCTTCAAACAAAACTTGCGCCATATTGGATCAAGGAACGTCCTGAAAATATTGTAGGTCCCAAGGTAAACTAAAATTAATTATTATGTATTATTTTAAATGTATATTAGGGAAATATATTTTTATCTTTTTCTCGATTTTTTTACTTATCATAATACATAATATGTTTCTCTCTTGTCATAATAAATTTACATGTTTATTCTTGTCAAGAGTATTATACATAATACTCTTTACGCACTAATAATGTTTATGTATATGTTGCATGTAATAATGTTTTATACGCATTTCATGTACATCTGTAAATAGATGTATTATATTCTTTATAGAGAAATCAGCCAGATATGTGGATTCATCCAGAACATTCTATAATTTTAACGATACGAGCGACTGAGATGGTACGTAATAATGAATATCCAATTGGATACAGTCTACGATTTCCTAGAGTTACGAATGTAAGGATGGATAAGCCCTGGTACAGTCCATGCACTACTCTCGAACTTCTATCGTTGACCAAAGTATGTGAATGCCACTAATGAATGATAAATTATTACATTACGAAAATAGAGTTGCCCTTGCGACTTACTTACAATTTACAATAATCTAATTATCATAGGATGAGGGAATGATTCAAAAGTTAACCAAGCGGGAAGCTACTCTGCATGATCTCGACCGAGTACCAGTCTCTAAATTACAAAAGATAGCAAGTCGAAGGAAATCAATTGAACATAACGTGTATAATAAGCACATAGTACCACTCACGCGACTATTGGATGGGAAAGAAATTTGCGTGATTAATGGTACCGATGAATTATCGAAAGAGCAAATTGAAGAAATACTGCAACAACATAGCGCAAGAATTGTTCAGAATCCAATTAATACGACTTTTTGCGTGATAGTAGGCAATAATAGAACGGTAAAAAATATTTTTTTTTGTGCTGCGCTATCAACTCAAGCTTAAATCTGATAATCGTCGAACTCAAGGACAAATTACAAAGTGCAAACTACTTTTTCAGATACGAGGGAAAGAAGTAGTAAACAGTGGAAAATACGATGTTGTAACTTTAGATTGGGTTGAACGTGTCACAAATATCAATCGGTCCGACTGGACTTCATTAATTGATTTTTTACCATGGGAACTATTATGCAGCCGAGACATTACTAGACGCCAAATTACGGAAAATTATGATGAATATTATGATAGTTTTGTTGTTGACGCAGATGAAGAGAGTTTAAAGCGTTCATTCGGCAAGATTGCGAAACCGATTATTTTTGAGGTACTTGAGTCAAAATTCATTACTAAATACGTATGTATTATCGCAATAATCTTACCGCAATAATTTCACAAATTTATTTATTTATCTAGCTTATGGACAATCCGTTTATCAATGAACAAGAAAAAGAAATGAACAAAGAATTGTTCGGGAGTACATCACCTTATTCGTTATTTGGAGATATAATTGGATTCTTTGAAAATCAATTGTGTAATGCTAAATTTAAATTTCGTTTCATGTCAGGTACAATTAAAGACAATATCGATAGTTCCGTTACGCATGTCTTTGTAGAAGATAACGAGACGAGCGCTATTATGAGAGATATGAAAGCCTATAAGCAAATATCTACAAAAATCGTTAAATGTAAATGGATCGGGGAATGTTTCCGAAATGGCCGAATATGTGAAATTACAAATTACCTAATCACTCAAAAAACGAGAATAAATTGAAATGAATAGAAATGAATTCATTTCGACATTTCCGAATTCGCACTTCTAATTTCTCGAATCCATTTGAATTCATAAATACATCTGATTTCAACATGATGACATGATAATTACGGTTTAAAATAATGAAAATACGCACTTTTGTTTAAAGTTTAAATAAAAAAAAGTTATGACGGAAATATGTAAGCCCTGAATTTATATTCGAGTACAGTATTGAATAAAAATATTCCCTCCTGTTTCAATCAATGATATTAAAAATAAATATAAAAATATTGTTCTATTTATAAAGAAAAAACTATAAATGTTCATGAACAGAAACGAATTTATGTCTTCGGATATCAATTTATTTCAATCCAGCTCCGGACTCTAAATTGCGCGAATTTGGATAAATTAAAATGAATTGCAATTTTTAATTAATTTCAAACCATTCACGTTTACTAGGCAATTATTAAAAATATATTAAATATATATATATTGCGTTATGACATATAAGAACAAATATATATA